CGGAAAGATCAGGTCGCTGAGCGCTGAACTTCACTCTCTCATTGGTACGGAACTCGTCTTCTTGTTGAATTTGCTCAATGCGCTTCTCCGAAACGTCGAAACCCAAGCACGTCCCAGTGACGAGAAAAAGTTGCTGACAAGATGTGTGCCAACGTAACCCACGCCGATCACGGCAATCAGGGGGTTTGAATCTTGGGCGATCGGCGTGATGATGTCTGGGGTGACGATCTTATGCACATCTTCTTCTTCGGGTGGTGGAGTCAGGGGAAGGACTGTCTCAAGGCAGTCGTATTTTGAGGGGCCTTTCAGGGTAGCATCGCTTATGTCAAGCAGAGCAAGGTGCTGAGAAGGAACCGTGTAGATTATGGAAGCCATTATGAATGGAGCCGGCAAGGCAGAAGTAAGGTTGTATGATCTAAAGTAATCAAAACTGGATGGTGAACGTGATGATGATGGTCTGATCTCAACAAGAAGCTGACAAGTCTACAGCGGGTGCCCGTCCCTTTTCTAGAGCAACCCAACTTCCTCACTTTCAAAAAATCTCCTCATCAGAGCGAGCAACTGCTCACCGTCAATGTTGTCTTCGGCACCGACGATTCCACTCCGCAGAGAGCTTCAAACCCTCCCAACCGTTTGCGGACATCGATGAAGCGACCACGGGTAGTATTTCGCTGTCAATGAAGTCCCGACTTGCCATCGAGAGTCTGGATTTTGTCTGCCAAGAGCTCAAGTCGACTTCCCGATCTCTCGGAAGTCGAACTTTCGTAGTCGAGCCCACGGGCTTCAGTGACACCACGTCCGGAAGAGGACTGCTCTCGGTCGCGCGGAAAAAAATGGACTGCTTAGACTGAATCGAACATACGATGGTGTCTGTAAACACCTGTTGAGTCCCTGAGATCGAGAACATGAGCCCGAATCGGACCTAGTCGATGCAACACAACGATGTGTCCATCACGACTTTTGCCCAGGGGCATAGAAGACGGAAAGACGGACGACTTCCTCATCCGGCCACACGTGGTAGGGCCCGAGGGACGGTAACGCTAGAAACGCCTCGCCCCCGTTCATGAAGCGAGTCGGGATCCCCAACGACGCAGGTGGCGCTACGGCTGTTAACCCAGACCCATCACGTTGAGGTGAGACTATGTCTCGAATCCGCAGCCCGCATTGGCCGCTATTCTGTCGCTCGGCTACAATAGTTAGTCTTGGCCACCACGTTCTTCAACAGACGCTAGTCAAACCACATGGGCGTCAACGAGCCCAGCCAATTACTGTTCCTGCGTCCCATCATCTCCACGGCCCTTTTCGGTCTCAACCTGGCTCGAGGCCTTCCCAGAACGGATTTTGGCACCGTGGTTCCCAACCGCGACGGCAGATACTGGCAGACTGTACCAACTCTGCAACACGTGGGAAAGCTGCGAACGGCATGCCAAGCCTGGCAGCCACGCCGCTGCAATGCTTGTCGTCGGTTGCGCGGTCAATCTCCCGCGTGTCCAGGCCTTTTTCCCTGTCGATCACTAGCGGTCCGGCCGCTCGCTGGTCGCGGGGTTTTGCAGTCGTACGACATGCCTGGTCGTTGGATCTCTCTTGACATTACGGACCCTCCGGGGCTTGAGCTTGGCCTGGCAACCGTTCTATTACGGTAAGTGTAGGAATAGGCTCGTCTGGATGTTCACGCGATGTCTGCAAACAGACGTCGTAGCGAAGGGGTCCAACTTCGCTACCGCATCCCTCTCTTTTCGCCACGTCGCATCTCGATGGCAGTATTTTTCTGTTGAGGAAAAAAAGTCTTTCTGGACAGTCCTTTGCACAGTTGGCTCTTTATCTTCCCCTTCCCTGGACAAGCACAAGACCCTTGGGGAACTCTCACCCAAGCGTCCCTCCATCACTTCTTTATCCAAGTCTGTTTTCCACCCCTGTACACGACCGGGTGATCATCCAACCGACTTAATCATGCCTCAAACAAAGGATCATGGCCTGTCTATTGACATAGAGGCCGGTCCATCTCATGCCGCTTCTTCTTCTACCGCAACATCATGCCCTACGACACCCAGGTCACCCCCACCTGTGGCCTGTCACTGGGACAAGAATTCCTCCAAGAGCCATACCAGAAGTTCATCTTCCACCTCTATGGCCGTGTCCCCTACGGCGAAGAGGAAATTCCACCATCCATTCAGGAGCCTTTCCAGACAGTCGTCATCAGCTAGGACTTCAGCGGAGGCTCCTCCTCTTCCGGCTGTAGACCAGGTGCTCGATGGCTCAGCTGATGTATCTGAAAAAGATCAAGGAGGGCCGAGTAACACCCAGCCTGAATCCCTCCCGGCACCATTGACTGTAAGTCACTTCTCCACTTGACTTCCTTCATCGGCATGTCACCGAGCACTCTCTGCCTTTCTTATCCTCCAAGTCATCACTTCTCATACTTGACACTAAGACAGCTGAATCTTGTTCAATCTAACAAACGACAGCGCCCTCCCCCTCCCCCACCCATCTTTGGGTCTTTCTCCAGCAGCACATGCTCCTTTCAATCTAGCATCTCACAGGAGGATGCCAAGCCACCATATCACCCAGACACAGAGCTCAAGAAGGTCTCGCGCTCTCTTCTGCGCCTCCAGAAATACAGTCTCATCCTGGGATTCGTCTCCATCAATGCCGGCTTTATCTGGGCGCTCTGGAATTATCACCATTACTGGTATATCTTCCTGCCTTTCTTGGCTGCCAACACATTCTGTCAAGTAATCTTTGCCATCTCCAACACCATTGCAGCAACCTTTACCACCTTGAGACGGAAGCTTGGATTCAAGAAGGATGTCGTCCCCGAGAATCCCGAAAAGTTTGTCATGGTCCTGCCCTGCTATAACGAAGACCGCCAAGAGGTGGAGACAAGTCTAAACTCCCTCATCAACCAGCAGAACATTGATGAGCACCCACGCCTCATCATGGTCATTGTTGACGGCAACGCCAAAGCCCCAGGCGAGGAGGTCTCTACTCAAGACTTCCTGCTGAACGACATGTTTGCCGGCGGCGAGCGCATCGAGTTCCAGAATGGCTACAGTGCCCGTGATGGCTTCTTCATGCCTGTCACCATCCAGCAGGGAAAGTACCGTGGCGTCCCTTACATCATCATCGGCAAGAAGCACAACCAGGGGAAGCGCGACAGCTTGTGCTTCGTCCGTTCATTCCTGTGGCACTACAAGAACCGCTCGGCCGACATCTCAACCATGTTCAACCCGGACCTGTTTGATTACATGGGTTCGATCTTGACTGACAACGGCCTGGACACAATCGACTATCTCTGCGGCATGGACGGCGACACTGTGTTTGATGACGATTGTGTGTACGAACTCATTAAAGCCTTACGCCGTGGCGGTCCTGATGTTGTCGGCGTCTGCGGCGCGGTCCTCGTTAAATTTGACGAGAAGCCGTGGGGTTGGTGGTCAGTACTCCATGTCAGCCGCCTTCTTCGCGTGGTTCATGGCAACTAACCTACGGAATAGGAACCTGTTACAAAACACAGAGTACAACCTGACGCAAGGGTTGAGGCGAGAATTTCAGTCTCGCGTTTCCGGAAAGGTCAATTGCCTACCGGGCTGTTGTCAGCTCATCCGGGTTCAAGATGCCACATTCGGCGATGCAGTCCTGCGGGAGCGTTTCGGCCACGTTCCCAAGCCCAATGACACCATGACCCAGCAGATCATGGGTGTTTACTCTGAAGACTCGATCCACGCTTCCATCATCTTCTCCCGCCATCCCAAGTCGCAGACTCGCCAGGCTCTGCGTGCTCGTGCTTACACGACGGCCCCTCAATCATGGTCCGTGTACCTCTCGCAGCGCAAGAGGTGGGCACTCGGCAGCAAATCGAATGAGTTTGTCATGGTCTTCCGTCCAGGCATCATCTGGGTTGAACGGCTGTGCTCGTTCATCACGGTGACAACCTGGTGGCTGGGCCCATTCGTCGTTGCGGCCATGTTTGGCTTTGCGATTGCGCTGGTGCGACAGGGAAAAAAGATTTTCGAGAACCACATCATGATCGGGTTGATGTCTGTGCTCGCATTCCGCTATGTAAGTTGTCTCAACTCATCAAAACGTCTGACACTGTAACTAATGAATGGCAGCTATACTCTTTGCTTATCGTCACGTGGTTCCCGCACAACAGGATGGCACGCATCAGGTTTTTGGTCGGCTTCTTCATTTATCTGACCTGCTCGCCATTCATGAACGTCGTTGTCACCATCTATGCTTTACTCCATTGCGACGAGTTCAGCTGGGGCAAGACGCGGGCGTCAGTGGGCGACGAAAACGGTGCAGGTGGGCATGGGGCACTGCCTGACCCTGAACAAGCCGCCAAGGAAAAGTTCAATGAGAAGATGCCGCCTGTTTAAGAAGGAAGAGATCAAAAGGGGATATGGAATTTCTTAGGGTCTGGGTTCTAGCATTTTAGACAGCGATGAGTTTTGTACGTCATTTGGCCACACTCCGATGGTCACCCGGCTCGTGAAGCTATAATGGTAGTTTTGACTGGTAAAATCAAGGTTCGTGCAAACGATGCCATCTTCTACTAAGAAAAATCCCATGATTCTTGTGAGTTGAAAACACGCCCATCCGCTGACCGGTCAAGTCGTTGGCCATCATCCGAGAGCAGCAGCGTCTTTGACCATGTTGGCCCTCGGGCAGTGGTCCGCAACTTGCGCCGGGCTCCGTGATGATATATGGGCCCTCCGGCCGGCCGGAAAGTTAGGCGTGACCCCTGTCCGTTCCTCGGATGCTTTGGAGCCCGCGATGGTTCGTGAGCTCCCTTGACGACATGACCCCGGCAGTCAAAGCAATAAGCAGTACTGTCCAGTATTGGTTTACGCAACGAGGATTCATCCGAAGAAATGTCCATCTGCTGGATGTCTTGACAAAATTCTTCTCTCACCACTGGTTCTGGAGGTCAATCGATGCCAGGTCGTGCTGGCGGATGAGGACAGGGGGCATGCTTTAGCGCTGTCAGTCGTGGTTTCAGCATCGCCAAGCGCCCCCTTTCCTCTTGATGAGGGGTTCAGAGATCGATGGCAAGGGTCTGGCTTGCCATCAGACGGAAGATTGACGAACTGCTGCCAAATCCTCCTGCTCTCCTCTGCCTAAAGGAGAACAGCGCGGCTCCTGGTTTCGAAGGCAGAGATTGGGCAGCAGGGATTCTCCCGAGAGATATCTACAGCTGTGCACCCTAGATATCATGTCCACATTCGCTTTGATAATCTAGTATTTGTCGAGTTGTCGCTCTGTCTTCTTGGTCTTAGAGAAGCACCATTCAACTTGCATTGTCATTCCTTTCGCATTGTGTTTTAGTCGGCGTTCAACTCACCCGCCACCATGTTTTCAATCCCTTTAAGAATATCGCTCCTGTTTGTCTTCGTACTCCAGTGTCTCCAGCCGCCAGTCTCTGCCGAGTTCCGCGTCACCTGTGCTCCGTTCAAGCGGGAGCGCATCGACCCGCTCGCGACGCCCGGCAAGGAGAACGGCCACATGCACACCTTCTTCAGCAGCCGGGGCATCGGTCCGGACGCCGTCACGGCCGACAAGCTCCGCGCGAGCTGCGGCAGCTGCAACGTCCAGGCCGACCGCAGCTCCTATTGGATCCCCACCCTCTATTATGGTGAGTATTTTCAGCACTTTGCTGGACAGAAATTCTGGCTGATACAGCATTATCGAAGTGAGCAAGAACGCCACGGTTCCTGTCAAGGTAGCCATTTTTCACGTGTATTACCACGGCCAAAGTGCGGACCGCCAGCGCTTTCCCGCCGATTTCTCCATCATATCGGGCAATCCCAACCTGACCGAAGACGAAGCCCGCGCGCAAGGCGGCATCGGGATGGAATGGGTATGTTCAAGCGCCCTCCACTCTCCAGGCTACCTTACGGTGTACACCACGACGGTACGGGACACGAAACTGAACAATAAAGATTGACGACGGGCTTGGCAGAGATTCGAAGACTCATCTGAGGAAAAGGAAGCCTGGCAGCTCCCGAAAAGAAAAGGCGGTGGCTGGCTGCGCGGCAACATTGGGTTTCCTACATCCGTCGTTAAAGACGAGTCGCTCGGCCGGCACCGAGAGTGCGCATCCAAAGACGAAGCGGGCTGCTTCAACGTCCTCCGCATGTTCTTCGCCATCTGGTACGACCTGCGCGACGACTGGTTTGACTTTGAGGACGGCGCTTACCTGACTCTTTCGTCAGGAGGGGGTGAGGAGCACGCCAACCAGCAGGCCGCGTATTTGAGAAAAGCTTATCTGACGAGAACAGGCCACACGTATCATGGCGATTTCATCAACGGCTGGGAGCCCAGGATGCCAGAGATTGTCCGCGACACCAGAACTACGTCAGTCGCGAGCATCGCGGCGCGGGCGGGCGTCGCCGGAGCACAGAGTGCTGAGCTCGACGAAGGGACCCCCCTCGCTTCCGCGGATCTCGACTGGGACGGCATGGTCGAGGCAAATGCCGGCCACGGCATCGTCGAGCTGGGCGTCTACGACTACGAACTGACCATCACAGACGGAAAGAGCATGAACGCTACATTCAGCGGTAAATGGGAGAGGAGGCGGCGGCGGCGGGCGCGGAGAGTGACAGGCCTGCGGGGGACACCGACAATGCTGCGGCCGCGGCAACGTCGGCGGTCTCTGTCGCGCACAGGCCTGTGGGGAGTTCCGTGGCTGCTGCGGATGCCTCGGCCTCCAGCGTGGGACGTGCCGAGTCTGCCGGCGTCACGGCCGAAGCATCCTCGGCTGCCGCTGCCGAGACGACGGGCGCCAGCAGCGCCAGCAACGCGCTGCCGACTGCGTCTGCTGATGCCCTGAGCAGAATGACGTTCTTGCCTGGGGAGAGCACGGCGGTCATCTCCTGGGTTGAGACGCGAAAGCCCGTCCCTACAGCCTGTGCGAAGAAGAACAAGAACAGAGCCGTGAAGCTGGAGCTTTGAGTGTGACCGTCATGGACGAAGTTCCAGACCCATGAGCTCCAGCCTGGCCGTACATACGAGGCTGTTGTCCACCTAGTTCTTCGTTGTTGGTTTACCCTGGCTGCGTCAACAGGCAACTTGCCGGCACGTTGCGTATGTCCTGGCTCTGTTAAGCGGGCATATCATTCTTTTGTACATATCATTCCAACCAATGAGCCGTTTGCCGAAAGGATGTAGAACACAGCTTTCTCTGTAAGCATTACTTTGACAGAGACTACGATGACTTGATTTCGAGCCTGAAACGTCTTCAAGTTCAAGTCCAGGAATGGAACGACACGTTGACTCGACTTGGCTTGCCAAGGCGGTAGGTTGAACTTAAGCAACCATAGTTGCTGCAGCCCGGCTCGTAGTTTGGCACCTTGAACACACTTGAGACCTTTGGCCAAGTTTCATCATTGAGACATCTCTTACGTCGCGCCAAGACATCATAAAAGCCACGTCGGTGTAGGCTTCGTGCAGTGGTCAATCACGTTGGCCTGATTCACCTGCAAAGGTGAACCCAGACCGACACATCCGAGAGCTCCGGACAGACCTTCGCAGCACCACCGATCAAGTTGTTCAGATAGACAACCGTGCCAATTTGGTCACAGCCTAGATCTCGTTACGGTAGACACCACCTCATAAGATTTGGTTGAATTCCTTGCGTATGCGGTTGTAGAGAAAATGACAAATCAGCATCAGGCTGGCGGTAGGAACGCGGAGAACAGTGCTCCCTGGATCATAGCATACAGCACGGCATACACCACGACCCTGCCGCCCCAAACCTTGGCTCCCTGCTTGTCTCCTGCTAAGCACCCCGCAACCCAGATGTACCACACAGGGTATCCAGATGCCAGCCTTGTGATGACCTGCACATGGTAATTGGACAGGGCTACGACAGCCAGCAGGACCTGCAAGGCAGCCATGGAGCGTATGAGCACCCCAGTGCGCAAATCCAGCTGACGTGCCGATCCTCCCACACCGCCTGGCGAACGTAGTACGTCAACACCTGACTTCATCATGATGAACAGCATCGGGATGGCGAGCAGGAAGAGAGGCAGGTTCGAGAAGGTCCAGTACCGAAGAAACCCGACACCCCTGCCAAAGTCAGCTTACATGGTACCCGATCAGACTGAAAGCAATTGGGGGAGAAAGGGGGGGGGGGGACATTACCAGTAGTGTGCTTGGACAAAGTTGTAAATACTTGGCACGGCATTGGCACACCAGGGACGTGGTTCGGATGCGCCGGAGCAGTAGCGCGCATAGGCGATGGTCTGCGGGACGATGGAGCCCGCGGCCACGAGAATGCCACCCAACAAGGGCCCGAAAAGGGAGAGTACGTCGGGGATCTGACTACTCGCGTCGAAGAAGGGCTGGAGGACGACGAGGGCACATTCAGCTGCGAAGGGCAGTCCGTTGAGGATGCCGTTTGAGCGGAACGTCGTCGAGATTCCGAATACGGCGCCGGCTACCAGCTGGAGACTGGTTCTGGAGAGATAGCTCCTCGACGCCTGAGAAGCCTTGGCAAGCACGAGATAGCCAACGAAAGACAGGAACGCAAAAGAGCTCTCGGCATAGGGCGCAGACAAGAATAGGCCAGCCGGTGAGAGGATATGCATGAGGGCGCTGATCAGCGGCAGGTGCCGCTGGGGGCCCCAGACGGTGTGAACCAGCTCATACAGCGCGAAGACGGCTGCCAAATGAGCTCCATGCGCCACAAAGATGGCTATGGCGGCTTCAAAAGACCCTGAATCGGTGGCAGGCACAAGGCCGAGGAACTTGGCCGGGCGAGCGAGGGCGGCCACAACGGCGGGGAGACCAGGCCCAAAGGCCCACTCCTGTTCGAAACGGTAGCCATGCTGGGCCGAGCTTGTGAAATAAATGGCATCCCAGCGGGTGAGCCGGGTGACGAGAGAAAAGGCGGTGGATGACTCGACGCGGTTGAGGGCGAGAGTGGTCGAGGTATCATACGAAGGGCCAGTCAAACCGCTGGCCAGCGCGACGGCGAGGAGAAGGCCCTTCCAGGCCAGAAATGCTGTGAAGAGGGTTTGTCGCGGGTTTTTGGTGTATTGGGTGAGACCCCCGGCAGTGGTTGAGGTTGAGGCTGTGGACGCCATGATGATGTTTAACCCCCCTCAGGGAGAATGGCGAGTCTCGCTTCGAGGAGTCGATGTCGTGGGGGCACACGATGTGTCGACCCGTGTCGATGACCGTACTGGGTAGACTGATAATGTCCAGACACTTGGCTCAGCCAGAACGCAGCCGATGCATGAACCGTTCAGGAAAGAGCGGAAGGTCCCGGTACAGGTCGCCGGCGAACAAGCCAGATTGATGGCTGATAAGAGTCGTGTGAGGTGTTTTGGCCGACAATGGAGTTTAGGTGGATGCCCCAAGCTAAGACAGGTCCAGCTCAAGCTCCCACAGCTCCCAGCTGCCAGCTGCCAGCTCCCAAATTCCAACTCCACGGCAACTTCGACAGAGAGCACGGGCCAAGGCAGTTGGAGGGAGGAACATTCCACGGATGGTTCCTGCCGGATGGTTAGTTAGGTAATCCCCAAGCTGTCAAGGGTCAAGGCCGAGCCCCACGTCGGTCGCCCAAAACCCACCACGGCCACTAGGTACATTACAGTACAGAACCAAGCCTCCAGGTACCTCGCCGAACTCATTCCAGGCCCCATCGTCGCCAGGGCTTAATCGGTCGGCGACATGGCAACCCCGTCTCCGAGCGTCTAGCACTCCACATGAAGGAAGACGCCGAACCTGTCAAATGCACAAGAAACTGCCCTACAGCTCGTGGTCAGCCGGCTTTGCAGATGACCGAACGGTGCCATCAGCCCCAGTCATCTTCAATGGATGGCACTTCATAGAAAGCCCTATGCGCAAGGCCTCGATCAATGCAGCTCGCCATCTGCCAAGCACATATCCATCCAAGGTACCCTCCAGTAGCAAGCAGCAGCACGCAGCAGCC